CTCTTTTCATCTGAATCATCTACCTTGCCCAGTTACCCTACCAGATTGAAATCTCAGTGTTGTCCTTCATGCCCTTACTCTTACTCCCTTTGAATTTTTGGCCTCTTGCTCTTTGTACTACCTCTCCATCAAGATATATCACTTACTCCGCTTTGCATGTGGACATTGTAGGTTCGATATCTTTACTATTGACATCTTCTGTGTTCTTTATCACCATACTTAGATCCTCCTTTATCTGAATCATAAATATTTCCCCAGTACATCGATGGTGCATGAAAGGAGCATCTCCTTCACTTCAATTCCCTCCTTTCCATCTCTCATTTATATCTAAGGTCTGATCTGGATCGTCTTCTTTGTCCGGTACAGGCTCTGCATTGTTATGTCACCCGCACAGCTTCCTTCTGTGGCTTTCATCCCCGTCTTTTTATACTCCTGGAATTCCTCCTATATCTGTGATAGTTCTCCTGTCACCCTTACCAGATGGATTTGCAAGCCTATTCGTTTCACTTATGTATCATTATCAGAGGATTCTCGCCATATTTCCTATTTATTCTCCCAACAGATTCATCATTTCACCCTTTCCCTAGCTTCCCACTTCCATCATCCATTGGAAGAGATTGTGCATGCTAGCATGTGGACTATGCCTCACACATTTATTGCCCACAACCTGCAGCATTTGGTCATCTCCTCATCTGACTATCACTTTCCACCCATAGCCATTCTTCATACCTCATTTCAACTCTGAAAAGGGTTAATCCTCTATTTTATTTCTTCCCTTTACAGTGGCCCTTTCTCCTTTACTAGATCTTGCTCTGTGGTGAGTGGTTTCAGTCCAGGCTACTTAAATGTAAATCTGCACCATACAGCCATACAGGTTTATAATGCTCACTGAAGAGATGAGCTGTTATACAAGACCACTGAAGGTTGCCTTGCAGTATCTTGCATCATATATAAGGCCCACACCAGACTGTACCAACTCATGGACTATCATGAGTAAAGCAGTATTGGGATCATTGTATTTGTACAGTATTTTTACATTTTTTTCTGATGCAAGCACTTAAACTTTTGCTTTTAACTTTAAACTTTTAAACATGCAGTCACTGATAGAATAAAATTTACATTTAGGTATTGTCCTTCTATGTTAACTGTCTTTAAAGTTAAACTGAAGAAAACTAATACTGAAGTTTGACATTATGTCACTTCTAGAGTAAAAATGTGAGCTTCATGAAATTTTCATTGAGTCTCAGAAATGCAATGGAAACAAATCCAAATTTAAATTACTTAATGTATGGTTATGTTCCTTCTTTAGTTCTAATTCTCCATTGAGCTAAACAGCAGTGAGTTACAATCATAAAACTGTCATGCCTAACTACTGTGCTCCTTTAACCAGTGGTCATTTTAAATTTGATCCTGTATATAGTTTGTTTAATTAAATAAGAAAGACATGGTTAACAGAATATAAGAAAACTGAATAAATAGGCGTAGCTTTCACAGTGTACTGTCTACAGTGTTGTCTTGCTAAATATTAGCTTTTTTTTCTGTATTAAAAAACAACAACATTGAAATGAACTTTGTCTGAAAAAAGACATTATAAAAAAAATATAACATTTTCATCTGAAAATTTGGATTTTGTTTTAGTTATGAATGACATTAAAAAGCTGCTTTTCTTGGTTTATATCACAGTTGTGTGTATTTGAGAACTTATAATTTGTGCTCTTGTTACTTATACAATTTTCATCATATCTTTACCAAGCTTATCTTATTATTTAGTTTTAGACCTATGTATATTAGTTTTAGTGAACAAATATTTTAGTTCATTGATATATATATGAAGAAGATATGTGTGTGTTAGCATGATAGTGATATAGAAAATGTATGAATTAGCATAGAAATTGCACAGAATTTAGAATTTGAAAACCTGTAGAAACCCTAATACCATTTTCTTAATATTTCTGTTAACCCTCAAATGCAAAGCATGACAGTAATTTTGGTTTAAAGCCTATGATGCTAAACCCAAGAATTTATGGTCAAAGGTAACCAGGGGTGTTCAGAAAAATATTTCTCTTCACCCTACTCATGAGTTATAATTAACTGGGTGGCTTAATGGTTAGAAACCTATAGAAAAAATAAAATAAATACTGAGGAGGGAATTTGGGAACTAGGATCAGCAAGCAAGACACGAAAAAACTGTAGACAACTTGGTACATGATGTGGATTAATCTACATATATTTTATAAAATGTTAACCAATTCGCAATGGGAGCCTCTTTAAATGCTTTTCTGTTCAAGCCACTGTGTTACATTCAAAATTTAATTAAACATCTTTATTAGAATCCAAATGACAAAACGAATGATTTTTTCTCTATTCTGTTTGTTACTATACAGTCTGAGATAGATTCACTTACATAAGTTACTTTACATTTTCTAACTTTCCTGACTGTACTTTATTTGACTTCACTTTTACTAGCTTAGTGTTTTCTGACTAAACTTCTAACATCTTTATAACTCGCCCGTCTTGGCTAAACTGTCAATCACTCAGTCTAGATCTCTCAAATTATTTCTCACTTTTCTATTCTTAACTTGTGCTCGCTATCGCCTATATATATGTACCTTGTTCAATGAAGCCCAGAATTTTCTAGAAACCATGTGACGTGATGATTTAACAATACTCAATTAAGGTAACGAGAAAAACACTAAAGATTCGAGTAACACGATGTCAACAATATTACTAAAGCCCAAACAACAGTGTAATTGCAAACACAACGTATGATTTGTACAGAGTTACGTAACAAAATTTGTTACAACTAACACTTTTAAAACAATCCATATTCAATACTCCTGTCTTAAAAACTAAACAATCATTAAATAATAAGTTACAAAATAAACTAGATAATAACACTTACATTAAACAGTCTGGTATATCCAACAGATATTATATACCTCACGAAAATTTTTATGAAGGGTTGTTGCGCATTTCTCCCAAAGAAACTGTAATATGCCTCGATGTCACCGTTGACTTGTGTTGAGATGAATAATAAGTCTTAATAGTTAATAAAGGAAAATGAAACATTTAAAATTAACTGCATGAGAAAAGGAAAAGATATGTTTTGTTTTTTTCTATTTCCTGATTAGAGAAAATGAAAAATAAAATATAAAGATTTACCTTAAAAACTTTTGATATACTTTTAGGAGGTTCTAGAGATTATGCAAATGAAATATGGAAATTATAAAATGAAGAAAAGTATATTTATACTCAAAATGAAAACTACTTTGTACTCGAGTTGTTAATAGTGTGAATGCGAGTAACTACGATAGAAAAATATCATATTTTTAGTAAACACACTTAATTATAAAAACCTTCATTATTTGTTTACAATATACTTATGATCTTTAATGAAATCTTATCAGTTTTTGAGAGGATACACTAATAAATCTCAGAGTTGCCTCATGTATTGTTGTACAAGTGAAATTCATAACTCGATTTCTGCAAATTGCATGAGCCCACCATGAAAGGGTTAAAGGGTAATGTATATTGAATTAATAATATCCTAATCCAACAAAGATTTAAACTTAGATTTGCATGGAAACTTCTCAGGAAATTCCGAAAACTTTACTGAATTGTTCACAAAGACAGAGCTCTTGAACTTGAGATTTTTAGGCAAGTACTGAAGCTGTTGTGTTGATGTTTTGGTTATATTAAATCACTGTATACTTATTATCTATAAAAGTGTTGTGCATTGTCAGTCTTAAGTCTGAGTCCAATGAGAAGAGGAAAGTTAAAAGCAAAATCCAGCAATAGTGGAAAGTTTTGTTGTCTAAACAATAATGGTGTCTCCTTGCTACGTCTTTTTATCCATTATTTATTTATGAGAAAAATAGTTATTTCATTGATAGTATCACAATGTAATTGCTCATCATCTACTTGGCACCATTAGATATAAATTTCTATAATGATCCACTTTTTTTTTCACCTCTGTTTTAAATCACAACAACCATGCTTTAAGTGAGTTAACTGCAGTGGGTGACTAGTAAAATACCAACATTCCAAAGACTGAGAATAAAACTTAAAAAATAAGAATCTAGCTGTGAAAACGAAGCACAATTTACTGGTCAATAAATAAACTCAATAAACTCAAACTCAATGGTATGTCAATAAAAAAACTTGTGTTTTCAAGTGTGGATGATTCGGAGGACACTTGAGCATTTTGCTACAACTTGGAGTATAAAATCTAATAAAAGGAAAAAATTTCTAAGTAGAAACTAAGACAGGATTATATAGTCATTCTGAGAATTTAATCATGAAATCGACTTGAAACATCTCCAGAATATCAATGCAGAAATACAAAGTATGCATGGAGTTAAAATCAGAAAAATAGTTAGTTGAAGATGGTTGCAAAAAACTGGTGTACATGAAAGCCTTAGAGCTGAAAAGCTTGATATTATATATGTGTAAATGTTTCAACTCTGCAAAGGATTAAAGAAATTGGACAATTAAATAGAAGATCATACTATGGGTGACAAAACAAAGATTAAGTGTTTTTGAAAACTAGGAATGATTTTCATTAGAGATGAGTAGATCATACAAAATTTAAGCAAGAGTGTACAAATATAACAGTGGAATATGCTTGTGAGTCTGTATGGTTTGGGGATGTATTATTGCTGCAAGTGTTAGAGATATTTTATAAAAATTTATGGTGTTATGAAAAAGTGGTAGTATCACAACATCTTGGTTCATCATGCAGTACTCAGTGAACAATGTACAATTGGCTCTGATTATGAATTTCAGCAGGATAGTAATAAAAACATAGTGGCCTCCTTTAAAAAAAATGATATGTAACACAAAGGAAAGAACCAGTTTATTAAAACCTTTAAAATGGCCAACCAAAACTTTGGTGCTAATCCTTCTGAAAATTTTATAGTACCAGTATAAAAGTAATGTTATAGAAGTAAAGATTGGTTGATGATGCCAAAAACTTGGCAACATCTATGACTTATATATTTATGCATATAATCAAGGCTAGAGGACTTGTTGGATATTAATTACTAATAAATGACTTGTGAGTGAGTGTTCGTGATAAAACATTTGTGCACAGATTTTTCACATCTTGTTTTGAGTAGCCATGTGCATGTTCTTATCAATTTTCAAGTAAAGTCAATGCTGCCAATCCTGAGAGCCCATTCAAACATCTTTGATCTCTATGTGTCAGGAGAAATTGAAACATTTTCAAAATCTCAAATTGGATTCTTTCTTTGAACAATTTATATCTTTGTGCCAATCTTCATGTTAATCTGTGTTGCCAATTTTACAAACTCCCCAAACCCCCTCAGCACCCCACTTGTGGGATAGCTTAATATGAAAAGCTCAAAACCTAATTGTAGATACTTGTTACTTTTAATACCGATTGTTCAAGTAGATAAATACAAAAAAATCTGAGAACATCCTTCACCTCCCATTTCTTGGACCTCCTCATGACTCAAACATTTTTAACTTTCTACATGCAAAAGTTGTGAGAGGAATTCAAAAATCAATTAGTCACAGAAACATGGATACATAGGTATAATTGAGAATTACTATAAAGATTTATTTAAGCTCAAAAACTAACTTTCTGTACCCAGTGATGTAATACTGAGTATGAATATAATATATAAATCAAAACAATGCTCTTCTTATGGCAATATTCTTGAAAAAGTTGTACCTTGTACTCAGACTGATGATTGGTAGTGTATGTACCCGCAGTAGATCTTCAGTTCTATAAAGATTCCATTTTCTGGGTTAACATATTTTTCACTCAGCTAACCAAATTCTATCACTTAGGTATCACTATTGTAAATAAATGTTTAATTATTGTTACATACATCTTGATGTAAAGAATATAAAATTCATGAAACATGTTTTCAGAGATAAATTATTCTTCAATTTGCAGAATAAAATGTTGTGATGTTTTATAAGTATATAATCTACTCTTTAAGTTATATTTGCTCTTACATTAATATGTTCTATCAAATATTTAGACTCAGAAAAGATGGCTCAGTTTGCCATGGATGAGAAACAAGTTCGTGAAGAGAATGTTCGCCTTCAGCAGAAGTTACAGATGGAGATGGAACGTCGAGAAGCTTTATGCCGCCACCTGTCAGAGAGTGAGTCTAGTCTGGAAATGGATGAAGAAAGGTTAGGCTAAAAATATTGATAAATTATTTTGTAAAAATAATTTTCTTCAGTTCTTGAAATATTATAAAATATAATATTCTGATTTTGAAAATGAAGTTAAGTACATGAGCTCAAAAATGAACTTTCAATGGCTAATAGTTTTTACATTTTTTAAGCTAAAATTAATCTAGACTGTGCGTACTTATAGACAGCATTTTATCTTAGAGAGATTCACTTAAATACAGCCTATGCAAGATTGAAGTATTACCTTCTATTGAATTTTATCTCTCTCGCTCCATAGTCATTATGAATGTAATTGTAGGTTAGTGCATCAAAAATCAAAGACATTTTTCAACTACATTGTAAATTTTGTACCTTTTGTTGCAAAGTAGTTCTGAAGTAAATACAATTTCTATTGAAAAGTTGTAATTATATCTTCTCTCTTTAACCACTATATATTTCTTTTGATTGCAAAAAAATATTAAAACTCTGAATCATTTCTTTAAAATATATTCAACTTTGTTCTCCAAAATTAATGTTATTCAATGCTCTCAGGTTAGTTTTAAGAGAAAATATGCTATTATTTTTTTGCACCATTCATTTAATAACTTTTTTCTTAAGGCATTTTAATGAATTGTCTCATGGTCAAGGGGTTCACCAAACAACAATCCCAAGTCCAATTCCATATATATCTTCCCCCAATACTTCTAGACCTTTGAGTCCAGGTAATTATTTTTATTCTTACTTCTCATATTTCAACTTTGTTGCTGTTTTTAGTAATTATTATATTATATTATACTTATGTTTTGATGTTCCCAGAATACTTTTGGTATGGCATGACCCGATGGTTAGGGTGCTGAATTTGCAATCGACAGGTTGCATGTTTAAATTCCCTTCATCAAACAAGTTTGCCCCTTCAGCCATAGGGGCATTATAATGTGACACAATCCCACTATACATGGTAAAAGAGTAGTCAAGATTTGGCAGTGGGTGGTGTTGACTAGCTCCATTTCCTCTAGTGTTACTGCTAAATTATGGATGGCTAGTGAAGAAAGCCCTCGAATAGCTTTACACAAAATTCAAACCAAACAGAGTACTTTTATGTGAAAGTAACTCTCAAATATCTGAGTGCATTGACACGATGTACTTGTAGTATAGTTTGCTTTATTACATTTTAAAAAGATGAAAAAATTACTGACTAGTATATGAAATTATCAGAAACTTTAGGTGAATTTTCTAGAGAGTATGTATCTTCTACAATATTAAATATCTTACTTGTGTATGTGGTATTTGTATTTCTTTGTAATACACTTTTCTTAAGAAACAGTTAAAATACTTATCTGTGTGTAAATTTCAATTACTAATTTTATGCATTCTCACATTCTTGAAAGCCTTATAAAACTGTAAATTTTATATTGATTTTAATTTTAAAATACCACATGCAGTTTCATTCTGTTTACAGTCATACAATAACATACAATAGAAATATTTTTTTAACATACCAGTATTACTAACAAGTTGATTTTGTAAAATTATTAATCCAAAGGTTTCATGTAATATCTGTAATAAGTTTTAAATTCATGTTATAATCATTTATATATTTTTCTAAATTTCGTTTTGGTGATTTTATTGTCTATTCAAGCAATTACTTAGGCTGATAAAGCTTAATGTAAATTTGCAATTCTTTATAAAATTTTATGTATAAACTTAAATAAATAAACTTTTCTAATGAATAAATTTCAACTCTAAAATATTTAAAATAAATGTGTGGAAGAATGACTAAATGTTTGTTTTTGGTAATTGTTTTTTAATTAAATGGTGCAAATTTTACCTCTGGACAGGATGCCCTAGGTGCTAGCAGAGAATTAATGTATTTTGTTTAGACAAAAAAAATTTGTTTGTACCACTGTACTTTTTTTTCCTTAATTGTTTTCTTAAACATTAATCACAGGTGGCTACATTATTGGACATCATGAAGTAGATGTACATCGTTTTAGTTATTAACTTTGATTAGATGACTTCTTTATCTATCACCTATGCTTCTGTTGCATATTTTTGGACTTTTTAAGCTCTTATCATTCAGGTCAATATACTGTTTTACTTTTGTAGTAGTTTGAGTTGTAGCTAGGACTGATTTGAGTGGTTGGTGGTAAAAACCTGTAAAAGCCCATAGATGCATGTGCCTGCAGCTGCCGTGATTGTACCTCCCCCCTCAGCCAAGCAAAATAAGATTATTATTTTCATGTTTTATAATTTTAATGTGTTATAATTTTAATGATTTTAAAAATTTGCAAGTTCCTTCGGGAAGTCCGTTAAAACACTCCAGATGAGTACTCACAAGGCAAGCAGGTGTTATTAGGTGAATGATAAGTGTAGAAAAATGAAGGCAGAGACAATTTTACTCCAGGCTGTGTTTTATTTTTCTGATTGATCTATCTTTAACAGCTGGTAGTTGATACAAATTAGTCACAATGTGATTAAAAAATGTTTTTATGCAAAAAACACATTGCTATATGTTTATATTTTAGATTTCCGTAAAATTTTGAAAATGTTTTTACATATCACATAAACTTTTGCTGGAAAGAAAATAGGCTTTGTATGGTATCCACTGTGGATGATATTGTCTGATGTGCCACGCTAAATACAAGTGAATTAGTGTGGCATGGGCCATTTGTTCAGTTTTTGCATTCAGGTTTTTTCCTGTGGACTTTTCTTGAAAAGTATTTTTTGCACGAAGGTTATTTGCTTCGTGCCTTTTCTAGAAAAGTGTTTGTTTCTAACAAGCTAATTGTGAAGTAAACTTTACTGCAACATTGACAAAGAAATTTTTCATGCTCATGGTAAACTTTTTCTCAGTGATATTTAGTGCCGGGCAGCAGTAGTCACATTGTATGGGAGTGCTTGGCAAGCATAACAAGTCCTGGGTAGCCCCAGCCACTACCTCTAACTGTAGTTACAACTCTATTTGAGTTCATAAAAAAAGTTATTTACTAGCAAGTGCTAATGGGTTAATTCTTTAGTTCAATTAGAAGAGAACACACCTGACATGTCACAGGTCTCGGGTTCAAATCTGAGGAAATATATTTTGTCTAAAAATAAATTACCACATTTTCAAAGGTTATTCCTGTTTTTGTGCAATCATGCATGTGAACATGTGCAAGGATATTTGAAAAACATACTATATAATTTCATATTTTAATGAGCATTTGTTTTGGTTATCAAAAATTATGATTGAAGAAGAAACAATTGCTGTATTATAAGTTAATTTTATTTTCTTGAGAATTTTCTTTTAACAAAGTATATGCTTCTTGAAATCCTTGATCAGCTTAATCATCTTATTTGTTATGTTTATCATTTAACTGAGTATAACAGCAAACATTTTTATGCTTACAGAGTTTATTATAGGTAAAATTGAAAAGAGTCATGTTTTTCAAACAATTGAAGAAACTAATGATAATTGAGGAAAACATTAAATGTTAAAAAAGTGATTCACCATGCAAAAGTAATTCATAGGATAATGTCTTTTGTATTTAAATTAAGATTATGAGGATTTAAATAAACTTATGCATCTTACAAATATCAAATCTACATTTATGAGAAAGAAAAACGTTTACAAACAAATAGGTGTAGTTGGAAAGATACTTTTTGAAATCTTTTGGAATATGCAAATCGTTATTGCTTTTGCTAATTTGTACTCACAAAAATGTTGATTAACATTCCTCAAAAAATATTCTTGGGATTAAATGACATGAAATGAAAGCCCATAAACACTTGAATACAGTTAGCTGGAGATGCTGGTCAGATCAGTTCTGAAAACAGCTAATTTGATTGTTTAGATTCAGTGTTATGTTTTATTTGCCATAATATAGTAAAAGTTGTTACTGTTAAAACCTGGCACTTGTAAATTGTAATGATTATTTATCATGCCTTATTTACTTATCGAGTTAGTAAGTTTTATCCTGTCACATGACATACCATTATTCTTAATCATTTAATTGAAGCTTACAGTTTTGCCTGCAGGGTGAATAATCCTAATTATAAGACAGTGTAAGTATTGTATAGCTGATAATAATTCTATCCATCATGATATAGGATTTAGAATTCATTTTCAAGACTATTATCTTTTGAAATATATCAGGATTTTAATCACTGGGAATAGCCAAAAATGTGGACTTAAGTGAAATCTAAATAAAATCTTGTCTTGTTCAAGAAGTTTTAGTTTTTATCAACCCAATAAAGATATTATTGACATGGACTGCCTCAATTATTCTTAAATAAAAAAGAAAACACTAAAACACATAAATTATTAATATATTTTGCTTTAGGAATGACTTGTACTAAATCACTGAAAGAGAGTAAACTTGTTTCATGTGAGATTGTATAATATATAGGTGGTTAAATAATTTTCTGTTAACATTTTTTCTTTCTGTATGTTCTCAATAACCTTAAAGTTTTGAATATAAGAAAACAATGTTCAGTAGTTGCATAATAATAAAAAAGAAAACAGACATATGTTTGCTTAGAAATAGGTCTTATATCAATATTTATAAGTAAAATGTTAGAGAAGTACATTTTTTAACACCACCAAGAATGTTTGCATAACTTTTATATTTAAAATGTATGTGTTTTTAGCTAAAGAAGTAGTTTCAATACATGAATAGTGAATTGTAGTAATTTATATAAGTTATTCTAATTTATAGAAATTTTGTGTTAGTAGTATATTCTGAGAGGTTGTGGGTAGGTATTTACTACTGGGACCCCTGAGTGTTATTTGAACCTGCAGTCTTGCTTACTTGGTTGGTGCTTCATTCAACTAAGCTACAGCATCGTGAATACTTCCTGTCTTGAGTTTTCAACATTAATTTTGTAAAAATGGAATTGGAAAGACACATAAAGTGAAAACAATTATAAGAAAATTTACAATTATACTAGATGGGTTGTGTACTTACTTTCATGTTTCTATAATTCCAAACTTAGTTCCATTAGTAACAAAAACAATGTTTGGTATTAAATGGATTCCATGACTTTAAAAGCTAATAGACATAGTTTGAAAGTTCTGCCAAATTCAGTTTTTACAAAATTAATGAAACTTGAAGCATTCAAGATGGAGCAATTTAATTGGTGAAAGCAGTGTTTCCCAAACTGGCACCCATGGACCCCTGTGAGGTCAGAGGAAAGTTTTGAGGGGCGGGGGGCTGTAGCACATACCCAAAATGCAGAATAGTTTTAATGTACTCAGTGTCTACAGATTCTTTCAGAAAGTTATGGGGGGGCGTTATGCTGAGAAAGTTTGGGAACTATGGATTAAAGCATCTGTGCAACCATAGTTGTGAGTTCCAGCCTTGATTGGTCACAGCTTTCACTCCTTTGGAAATATTTCAAATTAAAATGGAATGTGTTTGGGTAAAAAATATTTATTCAATGTTTTCTTCTTTCACCTTCAGACACTTATATTACTATAAGATTAATGTTCACTCATTGTGCTTATCTAATAATTCTCATTTTAGAATAAAGATTTGTGTATACACATTCATTTATATTTTACCATTAGAAATAAAATTGTACATTTTTTTCTTTTTCAACACGTTTCTTTTCCAATATTGCATTAAATATGGAAAAAAAGCTGTCACAAAATATTGATTGGACATATGGTATAAATGCTCCTAGCAAATGAATAATGTGCAGTTCCTTTTTGCTCACCATGCTAAAGCTGTGTGTATAACTGAAAAGATTAGTCTTACTTGCAAAAATATTTTGTGAAACTTGCTTTCATTATGTAATATCATAACTACCAGTGTAAATTGCACCTCAGTGGCTAATTGGTAAGTCTGCAGATTTGTAATGCTAAAAATCAGATTTTGATACCCATTGTAGGCACAGTGCAGATGACCCATTGTGTAGCTTTGTGCTTAAATAAAAACAAACCAGTGTAAATGTTTTTGCTTCCTTTATGTTAAGTTTTTATGTATGTTGTGTATTTTGTTTTTGGTGTTGATTTCAGGGCTTTCTCTTGAATATTCTCAAACTGAAAACTTTGAGATA